AAAATAAAATAAATTAATTTTTAAAAAAGTATTTTAATTTCTTTTTTTTTCTTTTTTTTCTTTTTTTCTTTTTTGTTTGCTTTGTGTACTCTCCAAGCCAAGCATGCATTTCTTCTCACCTTCCTTCCCTTTTCATCCTTGTCTTCTTCTTCAACCACTTTCTTTGTTTCTCCTTAATTTATAACATTACCCTACTTTTTATCATGCTGTCAATTTCGTATCTTTTTTCGGTTGAAAAAAAATCACTTTTGACTTATAAACGTATCGGGTTCTAAATTGTTCGATGTAGGAGGAGTACGTGGTGATGCTTGAGTAATGAGAGGTACGTGAATGAATCGAGCGATCTTAAGGATAATATGGTTGAAGAAAGCTTGAAAGAACTGAAGTTACTGTCTATATCAGCATGGTGGTCCGGTGGACCTTTATTTTTGGTAACTCAATTGAGAATTTTCGTAGGAAGAACGTGAGTGGGGATAAAACATGCTGAAATGACCTGCGTTGGTTTGTGGGAATAGTAGTCTTTCACTCTTAGAATCTACGAGTGGGTAACATGGTCGTGTTACAAGAGTTGCTGGAGAATGTCAGGGCAACGAGGCGTAGTATTCACTATTAGAAACGGGAAGTGGGTAACGTGATCATGTCTCAGGAGATGTAGGAGGATGTCAGAGCAACGAGGTATAGTATTCACTGTTAGACAGGACAAGTGGGTAGCATAGTCATGTTATAGAAGTTGCAGGAGAACGTCCGAATGATGAGGTGTAGTATTCATTGTTAGAAATGGCAAGTGGGTAACGTGGTCATGTCTCAGGAGATGTAGGAGGATGTCAGAGCAACGAGGTATAGTGTTCACTGTTAGACAGGACAAGTGGGTAGCATAGTCATGTTATAGAAGTTGCAGGAGAACGTCCGAATGATGAGGTGTAGTATTCATTGTTAGAAATGGCAAGTGGGTAACGTGATCATGTCTCAGGAGATGTAGGAGGATGTCAGAGCAACGAGGTATAGTGTTCACTGTTAGACAGGACAAGTGGGTAGCATAGTCATGTTACAAAAGTTGCAGGAGAACGTCCAGACGATGAGGTGTAGTATTCACTGTTAGAAACGACAATTGGGTAACGTGATCATGTCTCAGGGGATGTAGGAGGATGTCGGGGCAACGAGATATAGTATTCACTACTAGACACGACAAGTGGGTAACGTGATCATGTTTCAAGGAATGTTGAGATAATGAAGAGTAGTATGCACTATTAGAAGCAATAAGTAAGTAACGTAGGCGAATGTCGGGACAATAAAGTGTCATCTCTAGATTTCAAACCCTAATTTGAATCTCGAACATATAGCGTTACAAGCAGTGACAGCGTAATTACCTTTATCTCCTTCAAACCCATTTCAACGGTTAGACAATATTTGGACGGAGATAATCATGGAGAATGGAAACCCATTTCAAACAACGTGGAAAAATGGAATTGGTCGGTTTGGGTCTGACCGACAGCCGGACCGACCGGATTTCCGACATTACCATAACAAACCAACTTTTTTGAACGTTGACCGACCACTCACTGTTTTGTTCAGAGGGGCAGTTTCGGAATTAAAATTATCCATACGCCGGATCCAATGACGGAGTAGATTCCTCCGGCATGGACGCCATTTATACATGGCTAACTTAGTCATTGGGCTTTGGAATCTAAAAGGCCCATATTTATTTTAACAAGGCCCATCAAAGGTCTATTGGGCTTTATCAAAGCCCTTCAATGAATTATTATTATTATTATTGTTATTTTAATTCTACCTCTTTAATAATTAACCTTTTAAACTATTTTTATTTTTAAAAAATTGTCATAAATTATCAATTTCTCCTATTAATTTTTATATATTTATATATATGAGTCTATGAAGATGATAATGTGACGGGTCGATCGCCCATAAATAAACGTCGAGCTAGTTGATGTATCGTACAAAAGAAGTTAAAAGAGAGCTCCACCCGAGAAAATAATAATAATAAATATTTATTAATAACAATATTATACTAATTTTTAAATAAAATAAATTATATAGATAAAGACAAGGCAATGAGAGTGAGCATGGGAGACCATAGGCATTTAAAATTGACATTATTAAAAAAAAAAAAAATACCAACATTTAATAACTTTATCCATTCCCATACCTAATGCCAAAGCTACGAACAACCCATTGTATTAATAAAAACTCTCAACGATTCAATGTTCTTACCTTTTTTTTTTAAATAATATTTAACGTACAATGAATCAGGCTGGGAAGTTTCTGTTTTAACAGAGAATGAAGAGCAAATAGATATAAATTTTTCTCAGTTAACTAACTGAATCAAGGTGGAGATTACATTCGTGATCTCGGTCCCCGACCTTGTCCCTACTTTACTCTTATATATAAATATACGTATAAAAACATACACCGCAGCGAGCTTCTTATTATTATTACATATTAATTACTTTACTAAATTTTTAATTTAAAATTTTTTATTTGAAGTAAAAAATTAAAGTATATATTAAAAAAAATAGAAAAAAGTTTCTTACCGAGAGTAACTCGATCCTTGTAAATTAATTTTGCAAGGAATTTTTAACGGATCCTCGTGAAAAATAAACACATTTTATATTATATATATATATATATATATTTTTTTTTTTTTTTGCTTAGTCTCCAAGTCCGACATGTAGTTTTAAAATACAGTTATTTATTCGGTTAAACGAGGAAAATCAATTAAAAGTCGGCGTTTAGAACCGCGGCACAGGTGAAAAGATTCTGATCCAACGGCTCATATTTAATAGCAATATTTTTCCTTGCCTTTTTAAAAATAGAAAATAAATAAATAAGTTGAATGATGTCTTGTCGTGTAGCTGAGGTGCAGCTTCTTAGAACCTACGCCATATTTAAGAAGGAAACCATAGGTCACGAGTCCTCGTTCAATTCAAATCTTTACGTTATTATTATATGCCTGTCTCATCTATGTTCATATTGATATTTCACGTAATTTAATTGATTAGATGCGTTATACATTTTTTTTTTTTTTGCACATGTTAACGATTGACACGTTGATGTGATGTCGGTAATAATGTTTATCTAATAAATATTAAAAATTCAAATCAATTACCTTCAAGTCGTTGAATTTTTTTTTGCTTAGTTTAACAGGTGTTGGAATGGAGGATCAAATTATCGACATTTTGGTCAACGTAGATGTCATATTTGATTATGTGGCGGTATACTGTGAGATTCCAAGTTGGGGAGGAGAACTAAACACCATTTATAAGGGTGTGAAAACCTGTCACAGCAGACGCGTTTTAAAAACCTCGAAGGAAAGCCCAAAAAAAACAATATCTGCTAGTAGTGGGCTTGAGCGATTAAAAATGGTATCAGAGCCAGACACCAGGCGATGTGCAGCAAGGAGGTTGTTCTCCGAACAGGGGGTAGACACGAGGCGGTGCGCTAGTAAGGACATTGGGCCCCAAAGGGGAAGAGGGTGGATTGGTAAGAGGTCCCACATCGATTGGAGAAAAGAATGAGTGTCAGTAAGGACGTTGAGTTCGGAGGGAGGTGGATTGTGAGATTCCACTATGGTTAGGGAGGGGAACGAAACACTCTTTATAAGGGTGTGGAAACGTTTTAAAAACCTTGAGGGGAAACCTGAAAGAGAAAGTCCAAAAAGACAATATCTGCTACCAGTAGCCTTGGGTCGTTACATATACATTGTAGGGGATGTTCTTATGATTCGATGACCTAAACGATCCAAACAATCCAGCCCAGACTGTAAGGATCGAGTTGGGTCGAATTTGGTTCATTGGTTGGGGAGCATTTCTTAGTATTGAAGTATGGTCTATGCTTTGGGGGCAAGTTCATAAATGGTCAGAAAAGAAATATAAAATAATTTAAGTGCTATATAAATTATTATTAGACAAAAAGTTATGAATTATTATAATAAAACTTAATATAGTAAAAGAAAAAAACAAAAAATTAATTAATTAATTAATTGTGCCCATATAACAATATAACTCGAATTAATAATTAAATTAATAAAAAGATGGAGGGCGAAGGGGAGTGGAGCTTCGTACAAGTCAAATAAAATTTTCACTAAAAAAAATAAAATAATAATAATAAATGAAAAGGGAAATAAAAGAAAAAGAAAAAGAAAACCCCACACGTATATAGAAAAAGATCGTGGTCCATTTTAAAGTTATTAATTTGTTTTTTTTTATTTAAAAAAATTAACTTTAATTTACTTTTAATAAATAATAACACAGTTTTTTAAATAAAGAAAATAGATATTTTAGAAATTAAAAAACTAAAATTAATATAAAATAATAAGGTTAAATTTAAATTCCAAATAAAAATAATAATTTACAAAATAACCCTTATTAAATAATTAACTTAATATAATCATAAATTATAAAACATTTATTTATTTATTTTTAAATATTTAATTAAAATTTATTATTAAAGAGAAATTACCTTACAAAATTATTTAAAATTAATATATTATAAAATTTTAAATTCCAAAATTTATTAGTCACTTTTTAAAATCTAATATTTTATACAATTATATTTTGTAATTTAATTTTTTTTAAATGAAAGGATAATATAAAATTGTGGAAAAAAATAATAGTTGAAAGGAAATAGAAGAAAGCGCCACTTGTCGCTAATTTGCCAGGTGGCGCTTAATAATTGCCTCCAATCACTGATATCAGCTTCAAACTGGGCCCCACAAAAAAAAAAACTGCCTCTTTAACTTTTAAAACGACGTAGCGCGTGGGATACACGTGCCACCGGCTCCAAAAAACCCGGGGCCCCTACGGGCGTTGGTCGGTTCGGGTCATGCCACCACATCGACACGCGTACAGTCCCAATCTCCATGACGACACGTGGCATAAATCCCCGTCGTTCTCGGAATCCAACGGTGGAGATCTCGTTCGGACATTTGAAGAAGAAAAAAACAATAAAATAATATAGTTTAGATTTGTCGAAGGGGCGGATTTGGTTGTCTATTTAAGAGGAGCGGGGAGTCTGCCATTTTTGTCGCTTTAAAACCTCGAAGCTCTTACTTGTTTTGCAAACCAACTGAGAAGAAGAAGAAATGGGTGTTTTGGATCATTTGTCTGACTATTTTGATTGTTCTTCCCACAGCTCTAAGCACAAGAAACGCAAGCAATTGCAGGTAAATTTTGAGGTTTTTTGTGTTCTAGATCTTTATTTTGGTTTGATTTTGTGTTTTTTTTTTGTTTTTATGCTAAACCCAGATGCTTGTTGGCTTGAAAATGGGGTTTTTTTGCTTAGTTTTTAGTGAAAGTTTTGAACTTGAACTAAACCCAGTTGAGTTCTCCAAAAACCCATAAAATTAAGCACAAATTTGCTTGGTGTAGTGGAGAAAAAGTAGGAAGATTTGGGCATTCTAGTAGACGTTAAATCTCACGTTGGTTGGAGAAGTAAACGAATTATTCTTTATAAAGTTGTGGAAACTTCCCTCCAGTAAAAATCCGTTTTAAAAATCTGTTCGAACGGTTATAGTCAAATTCTTTATAAGGGCGTGGAAACTTCTAATTAGTACATGTATTTCAAAATTTTTGAGAGAAAGTCCCAAAAATGGAAGTTTGTAGTGGGCATGGACTCTTACAGTAGCTGGAAAAACCCGAACGGAAAAGTCATGTGCTAGTGGTGGATTTAGATTGTTACAGTAACGGGTGACATTCTTGGTGAAAATTCTAATGAGTATACGCGTTTTACAAATGATAAGAGAGCCTCAAAAGGGTAAGTCAATTGGTAGCGGTGGACTTAGACTGTTATAGTAGTAGATGCGTACGAAAAATCCTGAGGGGCTGTCCGAAAGAGAAAGTCATCCACTAGTAGTGGATTTAAAGTATTATAGTAGCTAGTTTTTTATTATCGGTCAATTATGTTCACTCTCTCGAACTGAAATACATGTCAATTACGGTCAAATTAGCGGGAATTCTAACAATATTTGGATGTTGAAATTGTTAGACGGTGGAGCTGAAGATTCGGATCGACTGCGAAGGGTGTGAGAGGAAGGTGAGGAGAGCATTGGAAGGGATGAAGGGAGTGAAGCAGGTGGACGTGGACCGCAAGGCCAACAAAGCCACCGTTGTCGGATACGTCGAGCCATCCAAAGTGGTGGCGCGTGTCGCTCATCGGACTGGTAAGAAGGCGGAGCTATGGCCCTACGTGCCCTACGACGTCGTGGCACATCCTTACGCGCCGGGAGTGTATGACAAGAAGGCGCCGGCAGGGTACGTGCGGAAAGCTGACGATCCCAACGTGTACCAGCTGGCACGTGCGAGCTCCACAGAGGTTCGCTATACGACAGCGTTTAGTGACGAAAATCCCGCGGCTTGCGCTGTCATGTAATGGTCGCCTACTTTTGTAAATAAGCAGAATAATTTGTCGATTTTGCTTTTATTTTTTGTGGCTTTTAATTTTAATTTATTTCTTTAGACTAAAGTTTTATTATTATTATTATTATTATTATTTTATGGTATGATTTATATTGGCTGTCATTCCCTTTGGTGGGCTTCCTTTTTCAATCAATCATTTCCTAATTCTAGAGTTGTGTGGACTTTATAATTATTGAATTTAATTATGGCTTTAGAAAAGTGTTTACTAAGCAAATAATTAAATAAATATAGGTTAAATAACTCTATTAAAATCACAAAATTTATGTTATTTGATTTATAAATTAAAAAAAATATATATTTTAGTCGGTAAACTTTGAAATTTGGAATATACGATTAAATAAAAAATTTAAATTGATAAAAATTGAGGAAAAAAAATATAATATTTTGAAACACAATAATTGACGGCTCAATTTTCCCAACTAAGGGATCAAAATGGCCGACCAAATTTTCTGATTAGGACCATTATCTCCTCATGTCGACCATGAAAAATAGACCATACGTTTAACCAAATTAGTCATTTAACACATTAATTTTGTGTGGTGGAAAATTGTTAATAAATTGATTCTATAAATAAAGAGACGGTTGTGATTGTGATTATGATTATGATTTTTGATTATATAGCCGCCCTGTTTTATTCGAAGTATAAATAATTTAAGTATAAATCATTTAATTATAATATTAAAGATTTAAATTTTTAATTGAAATACATATATTTTAAGTATAAATCAATTAATTATAATATTAAAGATTTAAAATTTTAATTGAAATACAAATAATTTAAGTATAAATCAATTAATTATAATATTAAAGATTGCAATTTTTAATTGAATACAAATAATTTAAGTATAAATCAATTAATTATAATATTAAAGATTGCAATTTTTAATTGAATACAAATAATTTAACTATAAATCAATTAATTATAATATTAAAGATTTAAAATTTTAATTGAAATACAAATAAATTAACTATAAATCAATTAATTATAATATTAAAGATTACAATTTTTAATTGAATACAAATAATTTAACTATAAATCAATTAATTATAATATTAAAGATTTAAAATTTTAATTGAAATACAAATAATTTAACTATAAATCAATTAATTATAATATTAAAGATTTAAAATTTTAATTGGACTATAAATAATTTTGTGTAATTAGATGAGTTTTTCTATACATCTCGAGGCTTGATTTGCATTCAGGTCATTGAACTTTTACGTTAGATTTTAGGTCGTAAAATTCGTGATCATCTTGTTTTCGGTCTCTACCTTTTTGTGATATAGAGTTCTCGCTAACCGCTCGCAAATATTGTTCGCTTTAGCTCGTTACTTATTGATGTCAGCCTCACGATTTTAAAACACGTCTACTAGGAAGAGGTTTTCACACGCTTTACGAGGAATGCTGCGTTCCTCTTTCCAACTTATGTGAGATCTTACAATCCAACCCCTTTGGGGTCAGCATTCTCGCTGGCACACTATCTCGTGTCTGGCTCTATACCATTTGTAACAACCCAAACCTATTGTTAGTAAAGAGGGTCCGTTTTGGCTCGCATCACCATTAGTCTCACTCCTAAATTTGATTTTTTTTAAACAATTAAGAACAAAAATATAAATTAATTGTTGGGTGGGCTGGGCTTGATGATCTCATCGGCGGCCCAAATCTCGGCCCAAATTGTTCAAATCTATGGATCTATATAAAGCGCGCCATCTTGCTCGAAGCCCAAGAAGTTTAGCGGGAAAAAGGAATTCACGAAGCTTAGTTGGAGTCCGGAGCAAGAGCAATGGCGGAAGAACAAGCTGGCGGTGTCGATGAGGTGGTGGAGGAATTCGCCATCTGGAAGAAGAACTCTCCCTATCTGTATGATCTTCTCATTTCCCACTCACTGGAATGGCCATCTCTCACCGTCGATTGGGTTCAATCGGCACCATTTCCTCACCAGGCCAACCCATCTCTTGCCGTCCACAAGCTTGTCCTCGGAACCCACACATCGGAGGATGTCCCCAATTACCTCATGGTGGCCGATTGTATTTTACCGGTCAAAGCATCCGAAACTAGAATCGACATTAGTGAGGAAAATCCCATTATGCCAAAGGTTAGTGATGAATTGTTGTTTAGTGCATGCTAGGTGTTTGATGAAATGTCTAACTGAAATTTTGTTGTGTTTTGGCAGATAGAGATAACCCAGAAGATACGTGTTGAAGGGGAGGTGAACAGAGCGCGGTGCATGCCGCAGAACCCACAAATTGTTGGTGCAAAAACGAGTGGATGTGAGGTGTATGTTTTTAATTGTGCTAAACAAGGGGCAAAGGCTCAGGGAGATGAGTGCGACCCTGATTTGAGATTGAGGGGTCATGATAAGGAGGGTTATGGGTTATCTTGGAGTCCGTTTAAGGAGGGTTACCTCTTAAGTGGCTCAAATGATCAGAAAATCTGTTTGTGGGATGTGTCTTCCATGGCTGACAAGAATGTGCTTGATGCAATGCACGTTTATGAGGTAATTTTTGGCGACTGAACTTCCTGTTCTTGATTGGAGACTATTGTTATTAACTTAATTTTGAATGATATTGCTGTTTCTATAATCAGGCTCATGAAAGCGTGGTCGGGGATGTGTCATGGCATTTGAAGAATGAGAATTTGTTTGGATCTGTAGGCGATGATTGCTTGTTGGTGATATGGGATTTGCGTACAAATAAATCAGTGGATTCTGTTCGAGCTCACGAGGAGGAGGTAATGCTATTCGGGACCTTTTCTTAACATTACACAAGTAACTATTATTCTCGCCTACAGTTTATCTCGATGGCACATATTTTAGCATGAAATCACACATAATCTTGGATGCAATTCTTCCGGACGAAATGATAAGTGTCAACAATGTTGAATTTTGCAAAGCTAGAGGTCCAAGGATCCTTGCAAAATTTCACAAATAAAGCTAATTTAACGAATGATTCCAACTAAGAACTAGTTAGAAGGATGAATAACTCTTAGATCGAACTTGGAATCTATGATGGTCACTCTTAGATCCCAAGACGACCCACTCCAGAATCAGCTTGATCAAGACTAATCCAATGAATTGGTTTTACTTCAAACCTAAAACCTAAACAAGGTTTGAAAAAGAAAAATAACACCTAGAGGGTTTCAAGAAAACACAAGGTTTAGACCCCAACACTATTAAATGAAAATTGAAGAAAATAACACGACATAAATAGTCAGTTCAAATACCAAAGACAAAAAGTCATCTAATCACTTTTCAATGTCAAGGGGTATTTATTCCCCCTCCATTCTTTTCTTGATTTTATACTTAAATCTTCTTTGTCTTACTTCTTATAATTGCTCATTCGGGTACATGCAATTAATTAGTGGTTGGATTCATACACTGATTTTAGCAGTTATCTCTTGGGGTTGGTGGAATCGAGGTTCAACTGACCCGACACTAGCTGTAGGCTGGAGATAGGTCCGAGGGAGGGTATACACACCCTTTGACCACATTTCCGACCAACCGGCCAACTTAGGCTTAGTAGATTTCAGTTGTTCTGAACAACTGAAATCTGTTGCCTATACAGAATGATTGATCATGATTAAGATTTTACTGTCTTGGGTTAGAATTATATTTTGGAGGAGCAGCTTATTCCCTTTCCTTGGTGAAAGTGAAACCAACTAGTTTTTTAAATTTCATAAAGTTTCTTTTCTTTGGATTACAGGTGAACTATGTTTCTTTCAATCCTTATAACGAATGGATTGTAGCAACGGCCTCCTCAGATACCACAGTGGGTCTGTTTGATCTCCGAAAGCTCGCCGAACCACTGCACGTTCTTAGCAGCCATGCGTATGTCTCTACATATCCCTATCAGATCATCAGTCTTAATAATACATTCGTGATGGTTCCTTTTAAGTGTCAATCGTTAAATTAATGTCTATTTTGAATGACCTTTCAAGTACTTAAAAAAGTGATTTTAAGTGCTCGAAAAGCCATTCCGAATACATGATTAGGAGGGGGAGGGGGGGTAAGTACTGATTTGTAGTTGTTGGTGACAGGGAGGGAGTGTTTCAGGTGGAGTGGGATCCAAATCATGAAACTGTGTTGGCATCTTCTGGTGACGATAGAAGGTTAATAGTGTGGGATCTAAACAGCATAGGAAGCGAGCAAGATGGAGAGGCTGAAGATGGGCCTCCAGAGCTGTTGTTTTCACATGGAGGTCACAAGGCTAAAATATCAGACTTCAGCTGGAACACCCACGAGCCATGGGTCATTTCAAGTGTGGCTGAAGATAACTCAGTACAGGTCTGGCAAATGGCCAAAAGTATCTACCGATGACACCCGACCCGACCCGACCCGACCGAAAGGGTTACTACTCAGGTTTGGAGAAACCCATCGTTCAACTTAGCTAATTTAAAGGTTTTCAGATATATTAGGTTGCCTTCTTCTTCTTCTTGTGTTGTATGTTTTGATCAATATTTTCTCAATTATCAACAAAATAGTTTGATCTCCTTCATATTTTCCATCTTTTGAAGCAGGAACAGAAAGAAAGATGTCTTGAAGAAAATATTTAGAATGTTTATTGTGAACTGTAATCAAATAGAGTACAAAGCTAATATTATTGGACACACTGCCTTCTATTAGTCTCCATAGAGATCAGGCCAAAATGAAATGGTGAACAAAGCTAATATAAATGGAGCCATTCACTTCTTCAGCCCTACTTTCATTCACTACAACTCTGCTAAGCTCTACTCAATATCACTTCTCAACATATGAAGAAGCTCTGCCATTTTCGAGTACCTCAAATGGGTCGAGAGAAGATCGATAACGAGAAGGTAATCAGATGTTGCAGTGACTGAGGTATATGCAGCACCCCACGGGCATTGCCGGAGTGTAGATGTTGATGTTTGACTGATCAGTTCATCAGGTTCATGTCTCTTTACGTTTTCCTCCTAATAACAAAAGGGAAAAATAAAGAGTTACCGACTTATATAAAAGCACCCAGTTACTTTCAAATGATAATGGCCGATTTGGAATGACTTTTCAAGTGCTTATGGTCCGTTTTCCTGAACAGGGTCAAATGTATCAGCTCATTTGAGAGAAAAAGACATCTTTCCAAAAACATAGACAAGTAGGATCAGAGTCCCAGGCAGATTCATAAGCATCAAATCAATGAGTTCTTAATTTATCAATGTTATATTCAGGGGTAATCGATAGGCTTAGAACTTGCAAAGCCATTCTAATGCAAGGCTATTCTACCAAATTTGTAGTGCTACGCAGAACAATCCTAAGTCATGTGATGGTGGATTGACAGGAGATTATGAATACACATGAAGTTTACAATTACAGACAATCCTTTCTATGGTAACAAAATTAGAACATCAAACTTTTAGACATTACATCACAGAGGCAGATAAAGCACGAAGTCATGCATGGATTTAAGCAACCTATTCAGGACCTCGATGTCCCGTGCCTAGATATCCGAAACGAGGATTGAAACATACACAAATCCAAACTATACAAAAAGGACTGTAAGTTGGAAATGGCAATCAGCTGTACAGACTATTGCACATGCTTCTTAAACTCAAAAGGCGAGACGAACAATGAATCACAAACAAACAATGAGAGAAAAAAAGAGGATTATCAGCAAAATTAACTCTACTTCATCCAACTAATCACTCAAAACACATCATAGAAGATGGAACAACCCTCAGTTTTTACCTTTCTTCTTCATTGCTCCTGAAGAAATATCGTTCGAGACAGCGTTCCGTAGTCCACACCCGGGTAGCTCTTCTGATGTCAAGCCATGACTAGCCAAACATTGAAGATTTTCAAATTCACAAGCACCAAAACTCTGTCCATTTATCACAGCACCTTCACTGCTTCTGCTACCATCGACCCCTGGATGGAGGCAGTAAATCTGATCATTCTCACACCGGACATTACACGGGTTCATCAAATAAGCACCAGGGATGCTTGGATTAGCCAAGTTAGGATTAACAGCTTTCTGATATGGGAAAGAACCAATCTCCCCTTCAATTCTGCCCCTAATATCCACAAGCAAACACTTGAGCCTAGCAACCTCAGCCTCAAGTGCTGCCTGCCCCTGCAACCTCTTCACCAAATGCTGATTCAAAGCCCTCAATCTAACAACCTCGTCCTCTAATGAAGCTGCCCTAGCCTTCTTCTTCTCCCGGTACTTACGAACAGCTTCACGGTTACCCAACGGCCGTTTCTTCGATTTCTTCTCGGTCGATTCCGCCGTGTCATCAGTAACAACCTTGTCTTCTTCACTTGGAGCAGGGACAATCTTAGTGTGGACATGAAAACATGTGTGAGTATGAGAGTAGTCAGGGCCCGGTGGATTGCAAGTATGCGTGTGAGTACAAGTATGAGTGTCCTTCAGAAGTTCATCAAAGAAACCATCCATTGAACAACTGCTCGGAATCTCCATATTTGGACTCGAAAACACTTCCTGATTCGAAAAATCAAGCTCTCCGTCCTCCATCGCCGAACAATATAATACAAATCGGAGAGTGTAATTCAAAACCAGTACAGATAAAAATATCGAACTCAGCTACCAATTCCTGGACTCTGAATCAGAAATTAAGCTTCAGAATCACCACAATCAGTCACGAAATCTTGCTAAGGTCATAAAAGCCGATTACAAAACTCATTAATCCTACCTAGGGAATTTCACTAATACAGTCAAGTCAACCAACGAAGAACAATTAATGAATCTACTAATATTCACGCCGCCGCATTAATCAAAAGCACCAAAAAACAAAGCAATGCTCACCGACAAAACCGCCACAGAAATCATTCGAACAGCCTACAATCGAACAGAAACCGAAGCATTTGAAATTAACTGCGAAATCAGAGGAGAAAATGGATTAAGAAGAGAAACCCTAGGGTTACCACATCGGTGAAGAACATTCAGCGAAAGGGAAAGGGAAAGGACCAAAATCCATCAATGGTTTCAGGAATTCCATTAATTTTTCATACTTTTCTCTGAGATAGAGAATTTCTGTTTGTCATTGGATGCCGATGAAGGTAATTTTACAAATCTTTGGAGGACAGAAATGTAATTTCGCAACAAATACTGACATTTGTGGGCCCCGCTCAAATCAAGACCGTCAAATAGTTCCGATTTTATTTAATGATTAAAAAAGCGAAAATTTCTATTTATTCCCTTTTTCTATTTAGTTCTAATTAAAATTTATTATCCAATTATAAAATTAATAATTTTGTGTGAGGGGAAAATTAAAATTCTTAATTTGGGTATCAAAAATAAAAAAAATTATAAAATTATCGATCCATCAAAATCAACGAAAATCGATCAAGCGAATAACCGTACGATGAAAAAAAAACCCTAATTTTTCTAAAACGCTGATGTTTTCTCCTTTGTAGTTTACGAACACTGGCATCTTCATTTTAATGTTCTTTTAAGAATCGTAAATGTGTAAGGTTTAGCTTTCGCTAAGACCCATAATTTTTAAATATTCGTGTAACGATCCAGACTCACCGCTAGCCGATAGTGTCCTATTTGGGCTTTCCATTGAGGGGAAGACTCACCACTAGCAGATATTGTCCTATTTGGGCTTTCCCTTTCGAGCTTTTCGAGCTTCCCTTCAAGGCTTTAAAAAGCGTCTACTAGGGAAGGTTTCCACGCCCAACGTCATCACTGGCACTTTTTCCTTCCTCCACTCAATAATGTGGGACCGCCCCCAAATCCACCCCCTTTGGGGCCAGTGTCCTTACTGACACATTGCCTCGTGTCTACCCCCTTCGGTGAAGAGCAAAAAGCTCTTCACCAGCAGATATTGTCCTCTTTAGGCTTTTCCTTTCGGGCTTCCCCTCAAGGGTTTAAAACGCGTCTGCTAGGAGAAGGTTTCCACACCCTTATATAAATGGTGGTTTGTTCTCCTCCCAACCAATGTGGGACATCACAATTCCAGACATTGGTGGAGAATAAGAAAATATTGGCCGGTTCGAAAAAAAAAATAGAAAAATTCACTTAATCATGATTAAAAAAATAATAAAGTTTATTATTTTAACATTCATAATTTAAAATTTCTCGACCACTCGACTTTTTAATTTTGTGTTAAATAAAAGTTTAAATTTATAACGCGGAAAAATAAAAAAATTATTAGATATAAAATTAAAAAAATTTATTTAATTTTAATTAAGTTTATAATTTAATAATTAAAATTATAAATATCCATTTTAAAAAGAAATTAAAATTTAAAGAATATGAGCCAACCCCTTCAACCCCTTAAATTTTCTACGCCCTTTGCATGCGCCTTCTCCAACTCCTTCATTTCAGCCTCTTCCAACCATGCTGCAAGCCACCCACCCGACTCAACTCTCCCTCCTTCGGTTCGTTGTAGTCTCGACGTCTCTTCCGCCGCCGTTTCTCTCTCGTTATCGCCCACCCGTCTCCGACGTCGTTGCCATTTCTTGCCTTTCGTTGTCGTAGGCGTCTCATCGATGACAATGCCATCTCTTACAACTTTCTTTACCTTTCTCTTGTTGTTATCTGCCTGAATTCTCATCGCTTGACGTGATACGCCACAAACAATGAAACAATCCATAGGAAAAAGAAGGAAAGAAAAAACCCGAACAAAACGAGCTCGATTTCTAACTTCTTGTACGTGTTTTGGTTAGGGTTTAAGAGAAAGAAGATTTGCAAGATATATATAGACACGAGCGTTCCATTTATAATAGTAAGAATTAGCCATAACCCCCAAACAACTAATTGTATGTTAACATAACAATACTTTGGTTTCGGTAGCTACAACAAATAACACTATCAATGAGTTGTTTTAACACACTATTGATAAAATTGTCCCGTCGTATTTTATCGAGAAAAAAGTCACGTTTTTTTTTCTTCGAGTCTTATGTATTAGTTGGGAGAGACAACGCTCGGGTGGATAACCGATAATTTTTTAATCCTCTAACGATAGAGCTCGATATTTTCTATGCACTAGGAATTAGATTATACGCATAAAAAGTTCTAATTATATAAAATAAAAATTACAAGATAAATCAAAATAAGCACACTAATTAGGAAGGCTCGATGGCTAAGTCAAATTAGGATTAGCGTTGATGTAGTAAGAATCGGGGCTATACGGATTAACCCTACCATGCCTGTAACGTCCCAGATCCACGCTAGCAAATATTGTCCTCTTTGGGCTTTCCCTTTCGGGCTTGCCCTCAAGGCTTTAAAACGCGTCTGTTAGGAGAAGGTTTCCATACGCTTATAAATGGTGGTTTGTTCCCCTCCTCATCTAATGTGGGACATCACAACACTCTTTCCTTCCTCCAATCGATGTGGGACCACCCCCAAATCCACCCCCTTTGGGGGCCAGCGTCCTTACTGGCACACCGCCTCGTATCTACCCCCCTTCGGGGAACAGCGAGAAGGCTGACACATCGTCCAGTGTCTGGCTCTGATACCATTTGTAACGTCTCAGATCCACCGCTAGCAGATATTGTCCTCTTTGAGCTTTTCCTTTCGAGCTTGTCCTCAAGGATTTAAAACGTGTCTACTAGGGGAAGGTTTCCACACCGTTATAAATGGTGGTTTGTTCTCCTCCCCAACCAATATGGGACATCACAATGCCCGTCTTCCCTTTTAATTTATATGAAGTTTGTTTAGGGTTTATCAATCGAACCTGAGCCAAACTAAGCTCGTATTGAGTTTTAACCGCTCGAGTCTATTTAATCTAGTTGTAGGTAACCAAACCTAAATTAGACTGTAACCCACCTGAAGTCTGGTCGACCACGACCTAACTCGGGTGAAGAGCTTGACATGCTTTCGTTCGATAAAATTAGTATCCGAAAGGTGTTACGCTTGTTTTATCATTCGTAGAATTAAAGTGAAATTATATGATAGAAAATGATTCATATATTATAATGAAGGTCCAAAGTTTTGTGACACATTATATTAACCCATTGCATATTTGTGGGTCCAGCTCCTAGCTTGGGATTCATATTTGACCTTATCAGACTTGCACATATGAGCAATCTCAGGAACCAGTGGATCATCCGGGTTTGGGTCGGTCAATAGTGAGCAAATTGAGAGCAAAACCTATAACCAAAAATAAATAAATAGATAAATGAGAATAACGCTCGACGTTCTCGAGTATCGATATGAATCAAATTAAGATTAAAAGAAAAATTGTAAGAGATTGAATTAACGTTCTTTTGAATGGATTTCACGTAATAATGTTTTGAATCATTCGTTTGGATTAAGGTTGTTTAAAGAATTCGATGGCTCGAAAAATCTGATCAACCTGACCCAAATCGTGGGTTGGGTTCGGGTATGAACTTATTTGAATCAATCCAACAAAAAAATTTATGGTGGGGTTGGGTTGAGTTCATTATGTAATATGGGTTGTTTCGGTTAAATAAATTTGCAATTCGAACAATCGGGTTGGGTTGGGTTGATCTAAAAAACGTCCTAGCCAATACCCAATTTTCGATCTATAAACACCTCTGGTTGATGTTCTTCTTCGAATGTTAAGTTCAGATATTAATTTTAACTCGTGGGATCCAAATGGCTCTGTTATGATGAAATAATATTAACGATTCAAACCTTTGATATTGTGAGGGCCGGACTCCATTGTTCTTTGAGGATATCCAAGCAAATGTTGCCATTGTTGTTTATGTTGGGATGGAACACCTTCGTCTTAAAGGCAACCTGCGATTAATAGTGTTTGAATTTCGAACTTAAACTTGACGTTTTTAAAAGTTACGCAAACCCGACCCTAAACGAGAGGGAAAAAGCCCTACAAATGGGTTACCTTAGGAGGTTTGAAGGGATAATCAGGAGGAAAATGAATGGTAACAAGAAAAACTCCACCGGCATAGGGACTGTCACAAGGACCAAGAATGGTTGCTTGCCAATGGAACATATCCTCTGCCACAGGCCCTGAAAAATGCACCATAACGTAAGCTTTTGTTCAAACAATAATAAATAAATCGTTCGTCTAACCGTTCAAGTCCACTGTTAGTAGATATTGTCTGTTTTGGCCTGTTACGTGTCGTCGTCAAGTCTTACGATTTTAAAATACGTCTCTTAGGGAGAAGTTTCTATACCCTTATAAAGAATGTTTCGTTTTCCTCTCCAACCGTTGTGGGATCTCACAATCCACCTCCCTTGGGGACCAGCGTCCTCGCTGACATGTTACTCGGTGTCTGGCTCTGATACCATTTGTAACAGCCCAACCCCATGGCTAACAGATATTGTCCGCTTTGGCCTGTTATGTGTTGTTGTCAGCCTCACGGTTTTAAAACGCGTATGTTAGGGAGAGGTTTCCATACTCTTACAAGGAATGTTTCGTTTTCCTCTCTAACTGTTGTGGGATCTCACAATCCACCCCCTTTGGGAGCCAGCGTTTTCGCTGGCACATCACTCGGTGTCTGGTTCTGATACCATTTGTAATAGTTCAACCCCACCGCTAACCGATATTGTCCGCTTTGACCCTTTACGTATTGTTGTCAGTCTCACTGTTTTAAAACACATATATTAGGGAGAGGTTTCCGTACTCTTATAAGAAATGTTTCGTTCTCCTCTCCAACTGATATGGGATCTCACAATCCACCCTCTTAGGGGCCAGCATCTTCGCTGGCACGTCACTCGGCGTCTGGCTCTGATACCATTTGTAACAACCGAACCTCACCGCTAACATATATAGTCCGCTTTGGCCCGTTACGTATTGTTGCCAGCCTCACTGTTTTAAAACGCATATGTTAAGGAGATGTTTCCATACTCTTATAAGGAATGTTTCGTTCTCCTCTCCAACCTATATGGGATCTCCCAATCCACCCCCTTGGGGGCCAGCGTCCTCGCTGGCATACCGCTCGGTGTTTGGCTCTAATACCATTTGTAACAGCCCAAGTTCACCACTAACAGATATTGTCCATTTTAGCTAGTTACGCATCCCACCGTCAGCCTCACAGTTTTAAAACAGGTTTGTTAGGGAGAGGTTTCCACACTCTTATAACGAATCTCATTCTCCTCTCCAACCGATGTGGGATCTCACAGCTTGATCTTCTAATTTTCACCTCGTAATTATTTAACACAAAAAAAAAAAAAAAAAAA